ATATGATTAAAAAACAAGACTAAGACTCAGTACAACAACAGTACAACAGTAGCATCAACTTAGGCGCAGCAGTGCTTTGAATCATGCTAACAAAACCATAAATCTCTAAGTAGTGGAATGGCCGACATAATAAAACCTATGTAAATATTCCCAAGGTTCTTTATTTCTATTTCTGAAGTGAGATATCTAGTTCTTCAGATGACTTAGAGTCTTTCACACAAAGTATATATTTTGTGCAAAGTAAAGCAAAAGCCAAAGGTCCATTATCCATATCCACGTCCATATCATTATTTTATTACCTGCCTACTGGCGATATGAATTATTCGCTACAATTAACGCATTAATTATCTACTTTTCATTTGTCAACTAGGTGATACGAGCCTCACTGGAATCAAAAAGTGGAATATTAGTTAACAGCATCCGCAATCTATGTGCATGTGACTCTTGCCAATTGTGCTGCTTTGATCATACGTAAATAAGCTGACAATTTATAATCATAGCTGACTGAAAAAAACAACAAATGTTCCCATTTGAGAAGCAGTGACAATAATGGAATTTTAGTTTTAAAACAGGACTTAAATGATTAATTATCAAAATTGTTGCAGACTTGTTTTTTGTGTCTTGACTTATTGATTCATTGAGTAATCATTTTGGCATTCATAGACAAAATGTCACCTCCAGTTTGTCTGATATAAGAACGCCCTGCACCTTGTACAATATATTTGAGGGTCAAAAGTGGCAGAAAATCAGCATTCCGGTTTCCGCTGCTGCAGCTGTTTATCAGAGTGTAGAAGCTTTCTTATTGTGAAGACTGACAGAAAGCCTCTTTACTTAGTTTTATACAGTCACTATGACAGGACCAATACTGTGTCATCCTGTAAACATTTCTCTCTGCAACCCAGCACTGCTGACCATCTTTTCTTCATTAAAAAATCTTTCTCAAACATTGCCTTACAAGGGGAAAGAGGCTCAAAACAAACTGTGGGATATCCTTGTGGTTCTGCCATAGCTGCAACAACTGTAGGCTCCAGTTCTTCTCTTTCCAAAAGAGCACAGTGCTTCAATAAAAAGAAGTCATCAAGTCAAAACATTTTGTTAAACCCCAAAATGATTGTGTGATTGGGGGAGTGATCTGAACCATCCTGTGATACGAGCAAGAAAGACATATCAGACTGGACTGGACTTGGTCACTGAAATGATTTTCCCGTCGGGAAATGATAACCTTGGTCCCAGGACTTGGTTTTAGCTCTGCTGCCGCCACTCACCATGTTTGATCCAGGGACAAATATATTTAACAGGGGAACAAACAGATAACAAAAAGTTACACCATACACCTTCTGTGCTTTTGTCCACAGAGTTGTGATGTTGTCGGGATAGCCAATATCTTTCTGTGGAAATGCAGTCATTCTGCAAAGTGCAACCATTTATTTGACTTCAAACTGTCGTTTCAGTGGGCATATTTTGCATATTTTACCGCATCCACCACAGCACATATGGCCTCAAGCAAATTTTGTCTGGTTTGAGGGAAGTCAACGGTTAACTGTCAGTATATTTAAATTTGAGCCATTAATTTAGGCCCATTGATAAGAAGACAGGAGAAGTGTGTGTGTGTGTGTGTGAGTGTGTGTTGTAGGGCTGTCCCCGACTAAGGATTTACACAGTCGAATCAGAATCGTCAAGTCTTGCCGACTGATAGTCGAATCATATGTGTTTGTGTGGCGACAATTGAGGGGACAGAGACTGTCATAATTGATGCATGAAAGGTTTAAAAGTTTCTTTCTTTTTACATTTTTATTTACAGCATTATATTTTGAAATTTATATTGTAATAGGCTGTATGGCAACTGGTAGTTGTGTCTAAAATCAGACGTTGAGCCCTCCCATATCGTCAAAATGGTATGGCCCAATCCCAGTGTCCCCCTAAACTCTGAGCCCTGGAGCCTCACAGACTTTACTGACATCGCTTGGAAATTGATAAGGTGCAAGAGGCAGCAAGGGCGCAAAATGCTGTAAACAGGAATGGGACAGCACTTTGCTACATTATCACATAACCTTGAAGACGCTGAAACACATTGCACACTTTGTATGTTTTTGCCTGATTTTTAAGTCTTACAGGCTCTTGCCCTACAGAGTGGCAATGCACTGTCGTTGGTCAAAACAGCATCATTAATCAAAAACTAAAATAAATAGTTGACTAAACTAAGTGTGTAATAAGGTGATTGCATTCCTCTGACTTCATGTGTTCTATCTTAAGAAAAATTTTAGCATCAGCGTTGGTTTCCATGCTTGTTTGTTTAACGTTCTTCTCATTCTTCTTCTTCTTCTTCTTCTTCTCTTATAAGGCAGATTTGCCTGATATTTCTCTTGCTTCTGGGTGTCCCCTGGTAACCCCCGTGTTTCACGTCACAATGAACTGTGGGCAATTCCCTCAGGCAAAGTCTGAAGAAATGCGGACTTACAAAAAGGGCTCAAAATGTCCGCGAGCTTGACTATTCGATAGTGGGACAGCCCTAAACCCTCACGGATTTACCGGGAACACGCCTCAAAGCCTGTGAGTCAGTGAGTGTGGACATTGGGATTGGCCCTGTGATCTTACTTTCTTCACGCCGCTGCGAAGCTTCCACTGTGAGACTGACAGTCGAGTCAGGCTCCGCCCGAAATATTATAGACCCATATGGAGGTCAACCTCCTGAGCCCACTGCTATTTGCCTATCTTAAAAATGTAGGCCTACTTACCTTATGTGCATAACATACTTAAGGATTTATCAGTGGCAATTAGGCTAATTAATGCTCTACCATGACTATAAAAAACACTAACAATAACCTACCACATACAGACATTCATGTGAAATCAAATAGGATGGTTTCTCATATTTATCATTATGATTTATTATTTTGAAAATTGGACAGTAGGCTAAATTAGGCCCTGTAACAGAAACATACAAGTCTGAAGCATCATCATGACACTAGCATGCAGCATATGGCATCTCTATAATTCACTCTACAGACTTCTATAGGGACTGAAGTGAGTTTATGTTGACCTTGTTGTAGGATAGACTAGGTAACTACATATAGTCACTATTAATATTGTCCTAGCAATAATGTTACAAAAATGTTGTTGATGCCTTCAAGTTCGTTTTGTAATAAGACTTACCTATACCTATGTCGACGGGCTCAGCGGCGGGAATCCATTTCCCCCGAGCAGGCTGGCTGCGGCGGTGCGTGGAGCAGCAGAGACGGCAGAAAAACCAGGGGAGACTCGGCTTGGGTCAGTCCGGGTTCCGCGTTTGCAGTCACGGCCGGGAAGCGAGGGAGCACCGCGGGCTGGTCTGGAGTCTGCGGGGCGGGAAGCAAAACAAATTCGCAATTTTGACCTTACCGACGCTGTCCGGAGGTTTGAGAGTTGTAACGTCTTTACTGGTGCAAGTTGGTTGGTGGTGGTTATTGGGTCGTTAATAGGTAAGGTGCTGGTGAGGATAATTTTCCTATCTGGCTTTAATGCTGCATCTCATTTACCTGCACTGGTTCAGCAGACTGAGAGGTAGAGGAAGCACGGTAATAACTCAGGAATCCTCAAACTGCAGAGCTTCTGCCCCCTCTTGATAACATAAAACCTACTCCTTGATAGACATGGAGTGTGTTTAAGTTGCGCCCAAACAGAAAGAAAGACAGCAGTATATAGCCTAATTATAATTAGTTATATATTCCTTTTTACTGGTGTGCCTCACAATTCATATTTTTACTTAGTTTGTTTTATATTACATGTATGCTGATTGTTTGATGTGTAGTTACACTATCGACGGTAGCTATCTAGGAAGAATATTCATGGTGTTATCTTGGTAAACTGACAAATTTGCAAACCTTGTGGACAGGGAATTCCCACATCTGTTGAAGAGGAAATTGGCCTGCATGCCCAATGCAGTAACCACAGGAATATGCACCATGTGAGCGCAGCAAAATAAAAAAGAATTATTTAAAAACCAAGGCTAGATTTTGACACAGGGTCCCTCTACAAGATTAGGTTTTTGCAGGACCCACCTTAGTTGATATTGTGGCTCTCTAAAAGGTTTGAAATCCATCAATCTACTAAAAACAAGTGACAAGCATACTTAATCCATTTTAGAGCTCTAGCTGGTGTGTATCCGTGTCTGCACATCAGTTGCACAACTGGCCGATATTTTCCACTTAACTGCTTTTAACTGAGATATAACTTTGTGATTACAAGAGAATACTGTGCCATGACCGGGGGGTGGGAAAAATGACACCATCTCATTTAAAAGTTTTTATTTGAAATGATTTTAAATACAAATAATATATTTTTCCATTTACAATGACAGTTCCTTTGTAAACAAAAGTGGCAGATAGTCATTGGGTAGTTTGTCCAAACTGAGGCGGCCTGCCGGCAATCGCCTGGACAATGTCTGTCATGGGAGAGATGGTGTCGTATTTAACCTTGCAGTTTTTTTTTATCCACACAGCGTAAATCACTGATGCTACATTCTATTGCAGAGCGATAAATACCCAGAGTACAATATTACCTGTTCGCATCCACCTGCCTTGAACACAATTACAGGAGGGGAGAGTGTGCGCACAGATATTCATACCTTTACCTCTCCCGCAGTAGTCCCACTAATATATTCCGTTTAAAAAAACCCTGTTAAGTGTGGATGTTCATGGTGGAAAAAAACAAACAAAAAGTAATTGACGTACAGTGAGAGCCCACAGAGCTACACAAGGAAGCCCTGATTTTCTTTTTTGTGCACTCGAGTCTAAAAGATGTAAAAACCAAGGCTAGAATAAAACAAAACAAAGAGGTATGTTACATTTGTTATAACTACAGCTTAACCCAAGTCATTTTAAATGAAAAGGGGGTTCTCTTGGTGAGCCAGAACTGCTCTGTATTCCTCAGACAGAAACATAAAAAACAAACAAAAAAACCCCCAAAACAATTCCTCCAGGTTTAGTGGGGGAAAATTCAAAATGGCAGTTGAACATACAAAACTGAGTTGTTCTGCTTTAATGACTAAATAGAAAAAGGTGCTGGACAGAATATGCTTAGTCTTACACAAAAAGTTCCTTTCAACAGGTTTTTGTTCAAGATCCTGAGCGCGGTGAATCAGGGATCTCACACTCCAATCCCTTTAACACAGGGCCAGTCACATGTTGCACTGATCTTCTTTCAGCAGACAAAACTGCATGTATTATGGAAACATCAGTGATATGTTTTTTTTCCTGACTGAGCAGCTTCAGGTTTCTATGAAGAGACTAAATCTAAACTGAAACAATTTTTACAAACACAAAGGAAACTCTCCCAAGAACAAGTGGTGCATAGCACCCAAGGACTTGTATGGTGTGGTATTTCAGTTGTATTCATAAGGCCTTTTTGGACAATGAGTATACACTGGAATGTGCTACAATGTAAAATAAAATCAAACCAAAGCAAAGGATGAAGAGAAAGGAAGTCACTTCTCTGAAAATATATATATGACTGAAAACTCACAAATTTTATGTAGTATATGGACAAGAGGAGTACTCACAATTCAAAGAAATCTTAACACTGCAAGTTTTGTCATTTCCCACCTCCATTATACTTGAGGTCACAATTCATTTCAAGATCCACCTGCTTTCAACAGCTGTCTCTCTCAAAAAGTACAGTTTGACGTGGATCACAGGGGCAGAACAGGCATCATTAACAGAACTGACTAGAGATCATCTGTGGACATCTCCTTCAACATACAGTGAGTACAAGTACATACAAGTGACCGGCTGGTGTGACAGCGAAGAAAAACTAAACAATAAAAAATGACAGGACTCAACTGTGCCCCCGTGCGCTTAAAGGATCAAACATCCCAATGGCTGACTCGCATGTGATCCCTGACAGGGCTAAAGCTCACACTTCTGCAGTTTTAAGAGTACAATAGAAAGTATCATTGGTGTGGAAAACATTGGTGCAGAGTGATTTTAAAATTAGCCGCGAGAATGATGTCATGATTTCCATACGGCGGCCATGTGGTTTTTTACCATTAATTTTGCAAACGGAATTAGCTGTTATACATCCCCTCTCCCCAGCATGAAAAGAAGAAAAGAGCCCAGATAATAGGTCCTCCAGTCCATAGTGTGTCAAATCTTTCATACCTGTACAAACACATACAAGGTTACAAACACACACACCATTCGCTCTCTCATGCACATCCACTCTCTCACACACACACACACACACACACACACACAGGACTGGGTAAGTATTCACAGAATTTTCTTCCGCCCGCAACGGAAAGTGAATGAAGAAGTCTCTGTAGAAAAGAGGAAATGGAGGGGTCAGGGTCACAGTCCATCTCATTGTACAGATAAAAATGGAGAAGGATGGCTCTGCTTGGATCAGCTGTCCCTGGTGATTCTGTGTGTTTGGCATGTGTGACGGGCACAGGTTTGTTCCTCCTCATTCGCTGATCTTGAGTGCTGTTGGGGGGTCAGGAGTGGGTGGTAGGCCAGTCCATTGGGGGGGGGGGGGGGGGGGGGAATCAGACAATCAGTCGTTGTCTTCGTCATCGTCTTCACTCTCCTCGATGCCGTCACTGTCTTCCTGCTCCTCGTCCTCCTCCTCCGTGTCGGGGATGTCCCACTGCGGGTGGTTGTCAAGCATGGCCTTGGCCTCATGGACCTCCAGCTGGGAAAACACAAGATTGACATGTTTTAGCACATGTTTTGTCATTTTACGATGGCACAATAACTCTAGTCACTGACTATTTTAGAGCCGTATTGATCAATTTTAGAGAATCAACAGACTGTTACGCCGGACAGTGTAACAGTGAATATGCAGCAAGTCTATTTTTGATGGAAGACGATCGTGTATCAACAATTAAAACAGACATAAAAAGGAACCAAATCGACCAAATCTGAGTAAGCAAAATCAGGCAGGCAAAATGCTCTTATTCCGAAATGCTCCATGTGAAGCCGTGCAGAGAACGGAACAAAACCGGGTCACAGAACACTGTGATCTGTAGTAGAAGCACGAAAGGGACAAATTAACAAGTCAACAACGTGTGGCCGGCTAAACGCTCCTCTGCTGAAATGCTTACAGTGTGAGTTGACGCCGGTCAGAGGCCGGAACAAAACCGCAGCACAGCAGGAACACGGCGCAGATGTTACCCTCTGTGAGTTTGGGGTTAGGAATAGCTGTAACCATTAAGTCATACAGACTGACAGGTGATAATGAACAGAGTGCAATTCATGCAGAATACACCTCTGTTTGGACTCCGTGAAATCCATCCCAACCCCACCCCCTCATGTTACCATGGTTACCAAGTGATTTGCATAAACATATATGTCAGTTGCAGATCGTTCCTAAGATTGCTTCTTCAACAGTTCCCGGCAAGAAGATGAGCCCTGAATTAAAGCGCAACATGAACTTGACAGATGGGTGTGATAAGTAGTGTGCTTTTGGTTTTAGTGCCAGACAGAATGACTTATTTATTTGACTTATTTGTTTTACAAATAAAGCTGCAATGTTTTATAAATGTAAATTACAGTTAAATAAAAATCTAATTTTAAACTGCATAGTGAAGACTAGAGACCACGTAGAGTCACCTTGTCTAAATTAAAAATTCAAAAACGATGTCAAGACTTAAAAATAGCATTACAGAAACAGTATTTTAAGATAAATACTGATTATTTCTGAAACTCAACCATGCTTGGCCACATCACACCATAAGTGCACTCTAACATAATGTATAAACTGTAAGCTAGCAGTATAATTCATGCTCTGTTTGACCGGTAACAGATCCATATTGGGAAAGACCTTGGCAGCAATTAACACCATTGCTCAGCGAGCTGCTGGTACATTTTGGCCGTGGCTTGTGGGTGTACGGTCTCAGCTCTGCAAATCGTTTTGTGCTTGCCAGTGGCAGGCATTGACCACACCCACACACCCACTCACCCACACACACCCACACACCCACACACACCCACAGCTTTGTTGTCACCTTGAGTGGTTTGATCTGGTCCAGTCCCAGGTAGGAATCGGAACGGAGGATGACAGAATATTGGTAGTTGCCCGTTTTGGAGGGGGCCGGAAACTTCAGCTCCACCTGGGGAATGACAAACAAACACCAAAAGCACACACAGCTGTGAAATCAAACCACATGAGCCCTTACAGTGTACGACTGCTCGACATATTAAGTGTAGTGTTACGGTAAAGCAGGTGTCAAAACAAAATGCCACCACATAAAGAAACAAGGTGACTGTCATCTGCAGAAAGCTCGCCTTCTTTTTTACTTTTTCATCAAAAACAGAAACACTAAGAGAAGCATTCAGAATAAGGCAAACCTGTAAAAGGACACAAACACTGCTGAATTTTACAAACTTTGACAACCTTATAGCTGCAGAGGGACATAGTGCGGTAGGTAATCACAGATGAACCACCACATGATGATGGGGTCCAACTGTAAATATTAGACCAGCATTACCTCAGGCTGTGATTACTATGTTACGCAATTACATATGGCAAACATCTAATTATCAGCTAAATGAGGCTAATTATTATTCAGCGCGTTAGCGGAGAATGAGCCGTGAACACAACAGCAATTTACTGCCCTGCCTTGTTGATGAAAGCAGCCCCTCTGCAAAAACACGTCCGTCAAACACGCAGCGTATAAGCAGTCACACAAGACAAACAACAGGAGGGACTGTTGAGGTGACGGGCTAATTGATTGCTCGACATCGACCCCGTTATGCGTGGGCGGGTCACCTCTTGCCATTACATTCCTTCAGAGCGGGGTACAGCTGGTCATGCAGACTTACTACAGGCCTCATTCAGCTCATACTTCGCTGTCAATCCTTATTGTTGCCGGAGAACACCGGGATCAGGAGGTGCAAAGCGTGCAAAATAAAAGCACTCACGCACTCCTCCGAGGAAATAATAACACAAGTGCAAAGGGTTGCCTAGCAACAGGATGTGTGAGGCGCTACAGTGCACTGGAAAAAACATGAACACTTTAACTTGTTAAGAGCTACTCCAGACGGATTATAGCATAAGCCATAATATACCCTGAAAGCAATTTAATATAAACACACACACAGAATTTATTGTACTGTATATTACAATGCAAAAACTGAATGAGTGCTGAAACGTGAAAACCATTTATTGATTATCAAAATCATTATTTATTAAGGACCTTATGAAATGCAAGGATTGTCTTTTTCTTTATTATCATGGTAACTGCTTCTGTGCGCTACACAGCTGTAGCCTATTTAACTTAAGTTAAAATTATAGGCTACATAATTTTACCTGATCGGCCATCATCTAGTTTAGCGTGGATTCTTTGCCATGCACATTCCCTCCTGTGGATCAGTGATTTGTGCTGCGTGTCGTGTACAAAAAGTAAAAAATAATTCAACTTTGGCAGCAGGCGTGTGCGTGAGGCGACACTTCCACTCATTCTAACAGGGATACTTGCTACTGAACATAGACTATGCTGCTCCCTGATAAAAGAAAAATGTTTCTGCTGATACTTCTTCATAAAACAAAACAAACAAAAAAATAAACAGATTTATATACGTTAACCTAAAAATCCTAAAATTATATTGCGATAAATCTCATTGTGTTTTATTGCCCAGCCCTAACTAAAAGATGAATAAAGTCACAGTCACGCTGTACAGGCATATGTTCACGTTTACTTCTCTAGCCCCTTACCTTAAGATTAACTATCACAACTACATGCCTAAGCTTACCCTAACCTAAACCTAATGGTAACCTGCACCATAAAACCACATCTTTACCCTCAAAAAGCAGATTGTACCCGTGTGGACCTCACTTTTGTCCCCACAAATCACACAAGTCCCCATCTGGTTAGTGTGCATTCAGGTGCCTGGTATCCACTGGGATATAAAAACACGCATAAACTCACCTCTTCTGTGTCTTTTAGTGTGCAGACGTGGTAGGGCATAGAGACGAGGGTCTGGTCTCGGCGGTCAGCGATGTAGAGCCACCACCACTCCTGCTTCTCCTCGGGGAAGTAGAGGCTGTAGACAGGGTGAGTCACCTTTGACTTGGTCTCTAGCAGGGCCCTCTCCCGCCGCTGGATACTTTGCTGCAATGCCTCCCACTCCTGACAGGGGGGGGTGGACAGTGGAGGATTAGGTTAGCAGCAGGTAACAAGCAGTGTTTCTTAATGGTCTTCTCAGTGGAAACGGTATCAAGGTCACCTTATGTTCAGGCCAATATGGTACACAGATTGGCCTTGTGCTTTCAGGTGAGGAATATATTAGGATGGAAACAACAACACAATACTGAATGATATTTGTCATATTCCTCAAGGCAGATGCTGACACATGCACCTATAAGTTTCTCACTGACCTCTTCATCGTCGCCAGCCATCTCATCCACCTCTGTGTCGCTTTGTTTATCGCTGTCTTCGTCTCTCTCGCTGGGAGAGTCCTTGTTGGCCTCGCCCTCGTCTGACTCGCTGCCCTTGTCTGAGGCCTCATCCTCTTCCTCCTTCACTGCTGCCGCTGACGCAGCTACGACTTCCTGTGACATCACCGTCGATAACAAGAATTTATGATGTAAGCAGCATTTTAAAATTATTGTAATGAGAAATTAATCAAGTTGTGTGCGTATAAAAATCACAAAGCAGCTTTAATTGAGCCGTGATTGGACACGTACATTTCCCGCCACGTTGCCGTTGGCTTGCTTGGTCTTGACAGGTGCAGGAGTGGCCTTCTTCTTGGTTAATTTTTTCTTCTTGGACTTGGTTGTCTTCTTAGCCGCTTTACTCTTGTTCTGCCACACTTTTGTTTTGGATTTACTCGAATCTGCTTGCTTTACACACAGACAAATTAAAGTTAGGTAAACACTGCAAGATTTTTACTGATGGCTAAATCTTAAACCAAAAATTGTGTTGACTTGTGCTGTGTGTGTTATTCTTACGGCTTCCTCTGTAGTGGCAGCCTCCTCAGCTAGGCACAGCGTTGACTCCTGCTCCCTTTCAAACACCTCCTACACACACACACACACACACCTGATAAACAATGCATACATTCAACAGTACACTCTAGTGGTCATCCATGGAAATGCTCCTCCATGGCAGCAACATCTATTTCACTACTTTAAATGTTGCTTTCTAGTAACTCACTAACATGTCAAATTATAGTTTGACCGAATGCTCCTTACCGCCATCCGTTTTCTGGTTAAGGTGACAGTTACTGTGACAATAGAGCCTGCTGTGATGTTATTGCTGTCCTCGTCATCGAGGACTGCAAAGACACAGGGAAAGAAAGAAAGGAACTTTCAATATGCGATTACAGAATCTGTAGCTTTATTTACTACTTTAAATCTAACTGATTAGAAGTCTAAGTTCGTCATCTTATTTTTTTTTCCATACTGCATGCAACGATGTTCAAAATGAATCAAAGACATTGCTTGACTCTGCAGGAAAATAAACCTACCTCATTTCCAGAAAAACCGTACTTGTGAAGCCTGTACCAATTTCAGTACCTTTTTGATCAGTCATTGCTAAAGCATTGCTTAAAACACTGTACATGTTATGTACCTTTCTCTATTTATAAATGCCATCTTCAGATGGAATTCAGATTCAGAGTAAAATGAAAATTGTGTGCATCCTGATGGTGCATATCCACATAAAAAAAACATAACATGACCACAAAATAAAGAATATGGGCCGTTATTTCTCGTTGAGGTGAAAAGCTGTCTCGCGATATCAGCATGAGGGATTGTGAGGGTGAAAGTAGCTTAGAAGATGCCCCCTGCCCACTTTTAAATCGCTTGTGCCAGCATTTGTTTTGTGAATTTCACCCGAATAAAAGGGAGGTATATTTTGTCAATGAAGAATTCTTAAACAGTGTTAAAATATCACACCCATTGTCGTGAACCCAATATCCGAACAAAGTGTGTTTGTATGCGCGTATTTTAGGACTGACCCTGCAGTTTGGTATCCATGGTGATGTTAGGGAAGCTGCCCAGCACAGCCATGACCTCGTCATACTTCTCTTCCCCCAAGAAACGCAGCATGCTGCGTCTGTCAGAGTCCTTGAGACTCACCAGGTCCTGGAGGCTCCGAACTTTATACTAGAGAGAAGAAAACAAATGAGCCATCGCAGGACCAATCTCTTTTCTTATCTAAACTGCTCAAGTATAATGTAATGTGTGCGTGCGCCGACACTCTGCAGTTACCTTCTTAGAGATGCAGTAGCGGAGGTGCTCCTCCTCAAAGTGGGGCAGCTGCAACAGTGGTGACTTTGACTCCTGCAGACCCTGCACTATCATTTGGGTCAGCTTCATGCAATTCTCTATGGTCCCCAGCCGAGGAGCATGGAAACCTGGAGGAATGCAAGTCAGGGCGCGCACACAGGGAAAAAAACTTTGTTAAATGACTCCCTTCATTCCCCCTGTGTGATATATTGGCACGTTTTTTAACCAGTGGGCAAAATTATCAAAGAAGTTATGCGGGTTGAGGATTGTGAGAATGTTATTCAAGGTGATAACTCACATTATATTGGACGTGTGTGTGTGTGTGTGTGTGTGTGTGTGTGTGTACCTCCTCTGCTGTTGGCCATCATGGTAAGCTGACAGCCCACGTTGATCATCTCCTGGAGGAGAGCTGGACTCTTCCTTACCACAAACCTCTGATCTGGAACAGAAACAAACACGCATACCCATGTGACCTTCCTCATATTCTATATTATTTCACTACCTTTTATTTTAAGTTAATATAGCACTATTACACATATAATGGTTGAAACTCTTAAACCTTTCCTCTGTCTGGAAAACATGCAATAGTCAGTCCATTACAGCAGGATTTATCATGAGTTCAGTATAAGGTCGTTGGAATGTTTTCCCAATACAATTGAAGATTTATTTATTTCCCATTTTTGAGAACTCTAAAGAACCAGTTCCTGACCACTTGTGTTGCGAAGGGAGACATGGAGCTATACAAGCCAACTCACTGTGTATTATGTGCGCACATGAAATACAACAGTGTTTTAACTGACATGAGGGCAAAAAAAATGGCACTCATTGACCTAACGGTGGCACTATAACAATCGACATTACATTTTTGCAAATATCTCGAAAACGGCTTTTTTTAGAGTCAAACTTCTTCCATCATTTTAATCTCTGGATTCATCTGCATCTTTGCTCCAATTTTCTTCTGCTCTAAAAATGTCATGCAATGTTTTATCACTTTTCTCAAAAACCTATTTTTGCGAACCTGTCAAACCGCGTTTGGACAATAGACCCGAAACTTTGGCAACAGCATCTACGGACTTCGCTGATCTAAAGTTATCAAAAGAATTTTGACACTTGTGTCTTTACTTAAAATTATTCCAAATATGTTAAATCATTTAACAACTATATCTCCACAAGTCTTTGTTCAAATGCTACCAAAATCGACATAGAAAATCCTCTAGATGGACGATATCAAGTGTTTCAAAGGGTTTTTAGATCCGTTAAACGGTGAGTCTGCAGTGACATTCAATTTCTTGCTGTAACTTGTACAGTCTTGTAGTCAACATGCTGTGACAGGGGTTCGAACAGTCAGTCTTTGGATCTGCAGGGCAATGCATTCACCACTGGACTATTAAGACATAGAAATATTTCTTTAGTTCTATATTTGGCATGGCCAGGATTTGAACCATCATTCTTTGTGTCTGAAGAAGAAGCACTTAACCAGTGCACTACACTGGTGAAGTAACTTCACAGTAACTTGTACAGTATTCACAACATTTTCTTTTTTGCTCAGTGTTGGATCAAACGCCACAAAAACAACAAGACAATACACTCAACGCAGGATGATGTGTGATTTTTTTCAGAATTTTATAACCAACATTTTAAGTTTAAACTGACAAAAATATCTCTCTGGCACATGTAATGTCATTGCCTCAACTTGTGTGTAATCAGCCTCTCACCAGTAGCTCAGTTAGTAAGTCACCTACTCTGGGGATGCAAAGAGCCAGTGTTCAGATCCCCAGGTGACCAAGTCCTACTTGCCAAAAACGGGGGTGTTCAGATCAAAGTGAGTCAAAGTTTTCTTGTTCTTCTTGGATCCTCTGACACTTATTTTTCTCTGCTAAAAAGTGTTTGTGCAGCATAAAACACTAAATCTGGCAGGTGGGTTGAACATTTCACCTACTAGTCAGGTACATATAATGACAATATTTGACTTCAAAAAGGCTTGGCTTCGAGTCCAAATTCTTTCATCACTTTAATCTCTTAAGTCATCTGCATCTGGTCTTCTCCGCTGAAAATGTCAAATTTTGCATTTGCTTGGATACCGATCATTGCCACTTGAGGCTATATCAAACTTTAGTGTCCTACCTTCCTCTATCTCTTCTGATACGTCCATGCGAGCCAGGTGAGCAAGCACTAAGACCCTGGCCTTCAAACTGTAAGGATAGCAGAATGGAGGCTCCTTCTTCTTCACATTGATGTTTCCCAACTCACGTATCAACTGCAACACAGATGGAAAAGGTTGTTTACATGCTTGGGGTCAATCTGCCCTAACACATTTGCAAGTTTCCTTTCCAATGACGTTGTTCTCACACATGTATACATGAGCACTTTGTGTTGACACTTGTTAGTACCTGTGGTACTTCGATGTTGTCTGTTGGTCGTATCGTGGCTTCTTTATTGCTGCGTGGGTCGAACTCAAATGCTGCAGTCAGCACCATGGCTAACCCTGGAGAGGGGAAATGGTGAAAATCAGGATTAGACAAAAAAAAAAAGAGGGGGAAAAAAATAGGAGAAATGGATTCATAAACCTGGTTTGTTAGGTGGAACTCAAGCTTGTTTACCAGTGCAGTCTAAATATATACAAGGAACTGACATATTGATCATTACATGAAAAATATTAACGCAGCAAGTTAGAATGACAATTTATGAGGACAATATCATATATTCACCACATGAACAGTCTCTGTATCTCAGTTTTTTTTGGTACAGTTTAATTGTGGTTGAATCTGGTCTTGTACATTTTCAGTGCCAATGCAGTGCAGGAAGGGAAACTCACGTTTCATGTTCATGTTGGGTGTCTTGTACATGAAATGCATGAAGAGCTGGGTAGTGTTGATGAGGATCTGATCCCCACTGTATCGTATAGAGCGGTACCACCATGTGCCCTGCGATACAGGAGGGAAAAGGAAAAAGGAATAGAGAAGAAAGTGAGAAAGCCAGGGGGCAACTTTTTTATACAATCTGCTGCACAGAACCTGGTTTTAACAGTGAGGACTTACCACTACAACAGGAAGGATGACCATAAAGGCTAGTCCATATACCAACAGCACCTACAGAGGAATGCAAACACCAAAATTGTAAATTAGATGCACAAAACTTATGCATAGGCTAATACAGGTCTAGTATGTGAATGAGTGCTCCAGTATGATATTTGAGTCTTTTATGACATTGGTTCGTTGCTAGTCAAATACAATACATTCCAGTTTATAGATTAAAAGCTACATTGACATAACCAGTAAATATATACCAGCATTGAGTTCTTCTGGTCAACAATCCAGGCAGGCAGGGCAATACCAAAGCTGGTTGCTAGAGAGAGAGAGAGAGAGAGAGACAGAGACAGACAGACAGACAGACAGAGAGACCAAAATGTCAAAGCCCTGTATTTACACATTGTAACAGCACAGGGCTGTGTCAAATTTGGCATCGTTGACTAAGTTGGAATTGCACATCACCTAACAGAACCTGAGAGACACCCCACCCCTCATTTACATTATGAAAAAGGAACATCTTTAAAGCTACAAGCATCTCTTCAAAATGCTCAAGAATTCTTCTATTAAATGACTAGAAATTCAAAAAGCATAATCCATTTTTAGAAGCCAGCAAAATCTGTATAAACACGTTATTTTTGGTGCCCATAGAACATGCATTATGAACACCCACAGTACAAGTGTGTGAAGGTGGGAGCCCCTTTTTCAGCGTAGGCTCTGGGTGTCGGCTCTCGCTGGAATGAATGGGCTGCCGTGTTTCAATTCATCTTCAATTGTTTAACACATTCATGACTACAAGAGGCTGACTCACCAGCATCAGGCACAGATGGTATGTCAACACATAAAAATGCAAATGAATACTGCGGGATTTAGCCTAGCTTCACTCACCTCCTGGACCATCTGGGTTACCGTATATTTCCCAGTTCTGCCGTGACTGTTCATTGGTCAGACTGTGGAAAAAGACCAGTTAAGTAGATGAATCAATCACCCCAGACTGACTAATCTGTTGATCGATTATGCAAATGCTGTCTTGCAGTCTGGCTTATCAAGTCAAGAGAGGAGAAACACTTACGCAGCATAGGCTTTGGCGATTCTCATGAATGTGGCCTCATCACCACCTTTGTCAGGGTGGAACTTGAGTGACAGTACACGGTATTGCTTCTTAATTTCTGAAAGTGATGCACCCTGGAGACAGAATTACACTTACAGCAACTCCTTACCAAACCACAAACAGCATAAGGAACAGATAAAAAAACAGAGAATACTAAGGAGTCTCAAAAGTCCTGAAAGATGCTACTTTTTATCTTGTTTTTTGTTTTATTCTACACAAGTTATAGATCAAATTTATTGTGCATACAAGATAAAAAATTCTTTAAGGACGTTTAAGGCTCTGTAGAATACAGCAGACTTTATGTTTTGTATGTTTTTACCGGGTCCAAGTTGAGGACTTCATATGGATTATACTCCTGGTACTCTCTGTCTAGCTTGGACACCTTATAGGCTAGCAGCAGGAACACAGCCCAGCCAAATAACAAGGCTGCTTTTCTGAAAATGGCACACACAAACAGGAAAACAAGGTCACACAAAAACATTCTCGGGGAGAAAAAAATCCTGCTGGTCTCGATTTTACAGACACCTTCTCACCTTTGGCTTGTAAGTGTGTAACTGTTTGGAGTTAAGATATTCTGCAGAAGCAATCTGCAATGCAAACTAGCTTTCAGCATTTAAAGCTCTAAACATTAGGTTGTAAATGTGAGTAAAAAGGCTTATCTTAATCTACTGCATACAAGCAGAAGGGCAGGACGTGTTCTGACATAGTTGTTGTTTGGTATTTATGCATGGAAGTTGAAGTTGTTTCCATGACAATGGCAAAACCCTATGGCCTGCTCTGCAGCATCTGTTGCCATGACAACTGTTCACTAGCCCAAGTTGTCTGAGAGGCTCAACCAGAAAAATACATGTTGGACTCCCATAATAAACACCACCGTTATGATACAGTTGAGGAAAGAAGAGGAAACTGATGAGAGCCTGGCTGAGACCAACATTTTGATTCATTCCACTTAGTAAATATGCTGAATGCTTCTACCCGCTTCAGTCACGATTGCAAGCATGCAAATAAAGAGTTAAAAAAAAAAGGATGTACGTCTTGTGACAGAATAGAAGTGCAAAGTGGGAGTATGAAGACACGCAGCTCAGAAGGCAGAGAGAGAACAAAGAGGAGCCTCAGACAGAAACACTGTGACAAGGAGGAAATGAGTGGGACAAGATAGGGACGAGTGAGACACTGAACAGCACTTGAATACCCATCATTCTACTAACCCACACACGCAGACCGAATAAACACTGAGAAAAACAGGATCACGTTAAGAGAAATGTTAAACAGTGCAACCCACTGTTGACATAATTGAGAGGTTTACACATGATGAAGACTACATAAGCCGAACCTGCGCCAGAAATGACCCAAGACAAGCACTTTCACACACACACACACACACGATGAGCAAGCCAGCCCGCACTACAGACATGGCCTTTGCTTCATCTTCACACAAAAGCAACATCTCCGACCAGCTGGAAACACACACACACACACACACGCTCAGTGTACCAGTAAGCTATCAGAATCAGCCCCAGTGGTGGGAGGATGACTGAGCCTTTAAATGCAGAACAGCTCAAGCAAGTCACACCCAAACAACAGAGTTGATATGACATTTGTTAAGAAAGGAGGATGAAGCAAACCTGTGATTATGCTGCCAAACAAGTTATGGCCAATCACTGAAGTTAACACATAAAATAGTATCATAAATAACTACCAACTGTGAATAATGCAGAAGTACCTGAGCTGTCTAAGGCCAACTTTAAGCAAGAAGGGAGTGATCTACTTTCAGAGACGGCTGCAAGCTGTGTGTCGACAAGCACTGGCCTTCCCTATATATAATCATTGGACTCACTTTAGTGTTGGGACAACACTTTGCTGTGACTTCATCAGCCTGAGCCGGTACCACAGACACCTGCCATGCACCCTCCTCAGGCTCTTCAGACGCAGTTGTTCTGGAAAGAGGATGGACAGAGAGAGATTACTGACACATAAGTCCCATCACTGCTGGTACCAGTTAATGCCAGCATGTTCACTTATTATTATTATTATATTATTATTTCAATATAATAATTGTCAGCAACATCTTGTTAGCTCTGATCTAAGTTGACCTGTGATGCTGCTATTCCCAGCTGACCAGGTGAGTGAGGTTTGTTAGTATACATTACATAACCCATGTTAGATATGATCTGTAGTTGACAAACAGATTTGCTGTACTAAGATAAGCAGATATCGGGATAAAGTCAATAAAATGAACAGAGGCAGGCTTAGGAACCTGCGAGAATGACGCTGGATTTTGGTGTTGAAGCTGTAGCTTAACTAGCCAGCACTTAGCTTAATGTTTACCCACTGAAGAACGCAAATACTGGCTACATATGTGAAGTTAAGGCAGTTGGTTTGCCAGATGATACGCAGTAAAGCTGTTGAGGCAACTGTGTTAACACTGGCTGCCTTGTACTAACAGTTAACGTTAAGCTCTTTACAGTGAAAGAGACGTGAACACTATCTTTGTAACGTTTGCTAGCTTACATTTCACAAGGCAACTGTTAATGCAACCGATGTTAGGTTATGTTGTTAGAGATACAGCCTCTGCATCTAACAGCGAGCCAGCCTGACAAACAAACTGGTGAGCGTTTACAAGCCAGGATGCTGGCTGAACTCTTCAGGTTCCACTGGCTGAGGTGAGTTAGCTAAGTTAGCATTGAGCCAGACATCGGGCCTTACCAGCATTCTGATCCCGGGGCCAGAGGTAGTATGTGGCTGGGATCACAATAAGTCCGACGAAGGACGTTAGGAAATAGAAAAACGTGTTGCCGCTGTCATCATACTGGAACTGTTGCCCGGCCATTTCGTAGTGGCTCTTGGGTCGCCCTTCTTCTCCACCGCTGCGCTTCCCCCTTCTGGCCCAATGTGTGCGACTTGTCAGACCGTTACCTAGCAAGCTAGCATCCAGCAAAGATAGCTCTGATCGTCGGTGTACGTGGTGTACGCCTGCGCATTGTGGCCTTTCTTCTTCTTCTGTGCGTGATTCAGGGGTTTTCCAGCTAGCGACTGACCCCAAGAGGTGGAAAAGAATGCACGACAGAGTGTAAAAGAGTTTTTGAGCTCAACTGAAGCAGTCAAATGGGTATATGATGTCAGAAAAAACATACCCAGCGGTGGAAGAAGTATTCAGATCCTTTACTTAAGTAAAGTAGTAACTAAGTAGTATTACTAATAGTAGTAAAGTAGTAATATCACACTGAGAAAATACTCCACTACAAGTAAAAGTCCTGCATTCAAAACCTTACTTATGTAAAAGTAGATAAGCATTATCAGCAAAATGTACCTAAAAGTACCAAAAGTAAAAGTACTCATAGTGCAGTAAATGTTTCCTGTCAGTATTGCTATTATATATGATGATCAGAGAGAAAAACAGCCCCGTTTCCAGCTGATTTAAGGTGAGTTTTATTAGTTTATTTAGATCAAGAAGTAGGATAATTTTCTCAACCCCTAAAGGACCACTTCATCTTTGAAGTTAAAATCAACACATTTGAAGATACATGGTTTTCACTGAACAGGAAAGGTATGAAAAAGTGTAATTTAAAATTAATTAGTTATTAAAGCTGTTGGACAAATGTAGTGCAGTAAAAAATACAATATTTGCCTCTGAGATGTAGCAGAGTGAAAGTATAAAGTAGCAGAAAATGTAAATACTCTAATATTTACTAATACTACTAACTTGTACAGTACTTGAGTAAATGTACTTACATTCCACCACTGAACATACCCAATGACTTTCTTAAGAATTACATGGGCAGGTTCTGCAACTCTCGCACTCATAAAAACCTTCCATACATAACCATGATGCTGATGGACAACAGTGGTTATTACTGATTATACTTATTTGTTTTGATCAAAATTATTGCTAGGGACAAATTATTCCCTACTAAGTTCTACACCTTTGGAACTGATTTGAAACACTACCGTTTTTTGGCTGCTTAGCAGAGAAAAAGGAGCGCATTTGCAACAAGTTTGGTGTTTAAGATAACATATAAACCTTTATTTAAACAGGAAAAGTCCCATTGAGACACCTGTAACATAAAATACCCTGTTAACACAGTAAATTTGAACTTCTTAAGACAGCAGAAAATAGTCTGTTAACACATCATTTTGGGTATATAATCAGTTTCTATGGGGAAACAACTAATAATTATAAAAAAAATAATTCCCCACTCAAACTAACTTGAAATGAGTTAAAGAAGAATAGCTTGTATACAACATCATACTTGATATAATCATTCAATAAATCTAATTTAACTTATATGTCCCTTCATGAACACTGTTGAATATGAATCAGTTTTCCTGTTAAAACCACATTTGTGTTTAGAAAAAGATTTTGCTGCTTGAACTTATTTAAGGGGCATTTACTGAACTCTGAAAAACTCTATACTTATTGCATTATTAATGATTATTAATAAACACTCAATTTGCGGAACAAAGATATGTTTTATTTGAAAAATAACAAGCAGCTCTGTTTAATTCTGACCCGGCCTCTGTCATGCCGCTGCCGCACTTTCTCTTTCCCTCCATCTGCTGTTGTGAAAAGTTATAGAGACCGCCTTTGCCAATACCTACTTCTGTATGGCTACTTTTCATTAGGAAGGTGCAGGTTAATTTTCTCAGTCACATGACCTGCTCCAGTCCACGCCCAAGAAAATCTTTCAAAACTTAAGAAATGCATTGGACTAATAGTACAGAACAAGAGCTGTTCTCTCTCTATAAAACATGTAGTGGCACACAGCTGCCACATATTATACACAAAAATGTAGAATTATTATAAGACAAAAAAGGATATTACATTTTGTAACAATCGAATAAACTCAGTTTTAGTCACAAAAACAAATTACACAAGCAATCCCAAAGCAAACAACTGGAAATATATTTTCTTCTTGGCAGCAGTGCTGGAAACCATCTAGATCTCATTTAGTTCCAGAGTTCTCTGTTTTTGTTGAAGGCAGTGCGGTTGACCTTCAAATGTCTGCACACTCTGCTTGTCTGATTGATTTAACATTATGTAGTCTAGTCTAGTCTATGACAAGATTGATGTCATCCATTTTAGGTTCTCTATCTGATGAGTTACACACATGGACATGGTTGCAGATGTGCTTTGCTCTCAGTTGTTTTGTTAGGTTTATTGTTAAACAATAGCTTTTTCTGGTTTACAAGACTCCAAGCTCAATTAAAACTTTTCTAAATCACATTTGATATATGTTTTGTTGATTTTTCAGCTACGGGCAAAGAGGATGATGAAGAAAAATGTGTTTGCTTTTTGGTTTTGTATTCTCTGAAGATTGATTCTGTCATATGTGCACCATAATATCATCCAGAGGCTTGCGTTCCAAGTCAGGCACTGTGGCGTCAGAAGCAGGATAACCTACGGGAAGTAACATCAACAGCTTCTCATTGGTTGGCCGTTTGAGCAGGAGCCTGAGTTGAGGGCCACAGTTTAACGGCGTCGTTGTGACGGTAACGAGACCCACGTTCTGATTAGGAAATGGACAGAAAGAACAGACATTCAGTCACATTAACTAGACATGTTCCTGTCTTTTATAAGACAAACACAAAAAGTTATGTAGTATCTCCTTAATTGCATGCATTTTCAAGAGGCTCGGAAGATCCGTGTAGTTCTATTTACACTCTTTCTTACATGCTCTTGTTTAAATGGCATTTATGACCAAGAGAACATGGATTGACTGATCTTTATTTCGAGATGTGATGTTATTCTTTACCTGTAATGCAGCCAACAGGATTCCACAGGATATGGAGACGCTGATTTCATTGTAGTAATGTGTCTTTTTCTTGCCGTTTGGTAAAATCCCATAGGTCTGTTTGAAGATTAGGACCAGGTAAGGAGCAACATCCAAGTACTCCTTAATCCAGTTTGTCCTGCACGAGGAAGGAAGTTGTGACAAAAGTGAGAGACGTGTGGAATTTGAAAATGTATTACTTTACATTGGTCCCTATTGACTAAGGGAGTAAGTGTGGAGTAAGTATGGGTGCTCACCTTAGTCTGGCCAAATCACTGACCCACTTTTCCCCCATCCTCTGACGGTAGTTGACCTCCTCTTCTTCTTCCACTATCAGTCTGATCTTGTGCTTCGTCTCTGGGTCGGACACCACGACAAATGTCCAGGGCTCTGTGTGTGCTCCACTAGGGGCTGTACCTATATGTTTTGTACGGAAAAACAAAAACATAACATAGCTGCATCTAATTATGGACATTTTTTTAGCTTTATTGCAGTTTAACAGTGGCCCATTGGTCCTCTTTAAATTTGCACATGCCTGCAGTGCGGATGACATTATCGATGACTTCACGGGGCACCGGCTCTGGGCTGATGAATCGGACAGACCTCCGCTGGTTCAACAGAGTGTAGAAATCCTTGGATCGCTCCAGCATCATCTCCTCAGGGTAACGTTGTGGTGAGTAGGGCACATGTTGAAGGTCTTCCTCCTCATTGCTGTCCATCCAATCACCATCCTCTAAAAAGGATGACAAAAAGCTGGACAAGTGAGCAGCTTCTGATATAAAACATTCAAAACTGTTACGGTGGGTGTTAATAAATTTGTAAAAGCAGAACACTTGGATTGTTATGGATAGTTACAGTCATCTTTAATACGGCAAAAAATGTTTTACATAATGTACATTGTTTAAGTGCACAAGTCAGCTTAATGATTAATATGATTTCAAACATATTTAGAAATATGCATTATGTAAGCATATTGTTCACTAAAATAATAGATTTTGCTACAGGGTCCCTCAATACAATAATTGGCCCCTGAGGGTCTTGGACCCAGACACACTTGCCCACTTGGTAATCCAGGTTTGAGCTTAATATTGGTGCAATCTCATCAAAAGGCAAAGATATGATTATGTGTAGCAGTGGAAGAAGAAGAAGAAGTAATCTTTTGCATTCAAGATTTTACTCAAGTAAAAGTACAAATATATGAGGATACAAATACAATCAAAGTACCAATCTTAAGAGTGGTGGTAAAGCAGAATGACCCATTTCAGAATAATGTAGGTCTATATTAAGACATTTGATTACAGATATTGATGCAATAATCTCCTTTTTGCACCTCCTGTGACAGTTGTTTGTATCTCCATGACCCATCTCAGAGGTGGTGAGTAGTCATGGTTTTAAATGTATTTTTAACACAGTAAGTTTGAGCCTGGCTAATTGTTTCCCTCACTTTTCCAGGTTCTTCCTAGTTTTAGACCACTGCTGTCTTACCCATTCAGTTTCTTGTTTGCCATTTTGGTTTGTTTCTGTACTAGTTTAATGTCTGATTTTGTTCTGTTTTCCCCATTTAGTTGTCTTTAACTTGTGTTTAGTTTAGATTTGCTTTAGTTGTATATTACGACTGTTAGTTTGCCCAGCCAATTATGTCTTTCTGATATTTTTAGATCAGGGTGCCATTTTGTTGGGAGGCTAGGTACCTGTGGCAAGGTCCCTTAATTTTTCTGCATGTAAGTAATTGCACGGGGACACTACATTGACTGCACCAACTTGCTGTGAGGTTTGTAGTGGGTAATGGTAGAACGCCTGGGCACTGCTCAGCGAGGTCTGCCTCTCCACAAGTGACCTGTACTTGGTTTTGTTTAGTTAGTTTAGGAGCTGGATTCATTAAGTTTATTTGCATTTATATTAAGGCCTTTATCAAATTGTATAGATATTTTAATCCTACCATTTTATCATTTTGTTGCTTCATATTCTTTCAGCAGTTTCACTCCCAGTTTAATAAATTTTGAAACGCTCCTCTGCCTCAGTAATGTTCCTGTGCCCCCCCCCTTTTTTAATTCTCCAAATCAAGGTTAAAATACAGTAGTACTTCAGTGCAACTCCCTAGTTAGTGTGGCTTGGCTTTCATTCAGTTCCCCCCTTCCTGTTCCACCATGCCACAAGTACATCACTTTAATGTTGCAGCTGGTAAAGGTAGAGCTTTACTTTAGCTACTGCTGGGTAGCTTTTGAATAAAGTCTTAAACTCAAAATGAGTTATTTTATCAAAATTGACAACTTTAAAATAGTACATAAAGCAGTAAATAAGTATCTCAAACATACTTTCCACCACTTAAGTCTCATAAGGGATGCTGTCTATTATAGGACATTACAAATTTTAACTCTTCAGAAAAGCATGTAAAATCTTTATGCAGTAGGCTACTTCATATTTTGCATGACTTCTTTAATGGAAATGAAGCGAGCAGGAAAATGAAGAATTCTAGTCACCCTCTTAGTCCATACAGGCTACATGCTATGCACCATTACTGATTAACCCAGCTGTGTATGTCCAACGACTATTCCTAGAAATCTGTTCCTTGTGCGCTCCCCCGTAAGGCGCGTGCACGCCTCTTTAGCGCGCAAAACGCTTCCACCAGAGTCTGGGAAATATTCACACAAGAAGCAGAAGTAGCAACTTTTTTTTGGTGAAAACCCTGATTGTATCGATTCTAATACTGAAACAGACATTTTCGTGTTAAAGGACCGAGTCAGAGTAAAAGTTTCCCTTCAGCTCTCACCGTCTGCTGTGATTTCTGTTTCGTCCTGTAAGTCCTGGTCCACCCACGGTCTAAACTCCGCTTTTGGCTTCCCTTCAGCTTTTCCCGGGTAAGTCGAGGTGGTCTCCCGTGATTTCACCAGCATGAAGCCTATCACCAGGCACAGGACCACCGCCAGAACAGGCGTGAGGACGGACAGGAGAGCCATGACTGGCGGAGTGGAGAGAAGAGGACACGGGCACCTGCGCGCTTGTGTGGCTCAGCTGAGTGCAGACCTGATGTTATGAAACACTTGAACCGTTATCTGAGGGCTGGGTCTGTAGCCACTATGCGGAGTCAGCCTTTTTTAAAGTGAGAAATGTCCCTTGAGCTTTTGTGAATTTGGTGTGTTCTGTAGCGCAGGTCTGATGGGGGCGCAAGCTCGACTGATGCATAAAAGAAACCCAGTGATCACTAAAATGTGGTAGTATTGTCCTCCTCCCCGTCCTTGAGTCCTTTCATGAAGTCTAAAGTTAACACTGAATTAGTTCATTAAGCATTTCTCTGCAGTTGTGCAGCACTTGGCCTACACTGTAAAAAGTCCTTCAATGGCCCTGTCCATACGACTTCATTTTAAAATGTAAATTTCTTTGAAAAATTTAATTTTCTTTTCCTTTCTATTTAAGTTACAGAAAATTTAAGTGTAAATTTTCCAGTAACTTGCCATTTGTTGCCATTTTGTTGTACTTCCTAATTGATTTCACAAAACTCAGTTTAAGGACCTATGTCACAAGTAAATTGTCAGGACACGCCTACATTTCAGTTAGTAACCATAGCAACAGCTGAACTCGTCTGGGCGTGTCCCACACGCGGCTGTAACGGCTGGGCTGTAACGGAGGTGACCAAACTGCAGTGCTGACCTGACCAGCTTTTTCAGCAGAGCTGAGGACAAACACTAAACATATGTAAGTAACCATTTTTACTTGTAAAAGTTGAATTTTAGTCGAATTGGCATGGATATATTACTTTTTCTCATGCTAGAAAACCACTCGTTTCCTCTATCATGTGTGCGTTTTGAGGATGCCCGAGGCATTTCCAAATGTGCACTAACGTTAAGCTCAAACGGATACGTTAAACGAGTTTTAATCAAATGCGGTTTCTACTTTATCAGGTTTTCATTAATGTACAATGGCTTCCCGCTTTCAGTAGAGAATTTAAAATAAATGGACGTTTCCTCTTGTGGCCGTAACGTCTGGACTCAAGATGGCGGAGGAAAGTGTTTGTTTTTTAGGTGGTGGAGTTAAGTTAATGTAGTTTTAATGAATGTTAAATATTTTGTCTCAAACAACTCGCTTAAAATACTCCATGAAGCAGGCTTCGGGAGAAAATTACAAGAAATGAATTACTAGCTTTGACCAAATTCTTGCTAGCAAGACGTGCAGGATGGCGGGTCCTGCTTCTCCTCCATGCTCTTAACATAGACAGCCCCCGTAGAAGGAGCACCCTATGGCATAGAGAAGAACTCTACATGAATGTCCATTTAGCGGGGGACTCAAAATGGTTGGACCCTATTGAATGGAAATAAATGTAGGCATATTTCCTAGCTTATGATGTGTGATTACAGGTTTTAATGTTAACTGCTGGGTCTGTATCTCCTGCTGTATTTTCTGCTTGAATGCTGTGAGAGTAAAATCAATCTTGATGAATCAAAGACTTCTGTTTTCCAACACTTCTAGTAGACATGGCTGTCCAAAAATCAAAACGTAGCCTAGTTTTGTCAAAGTATATATTTTTACAAAAATATTTTAATATTATCACCTCCTGTGTTGCTTTTTCAGGAGACCACCAGATCTCCTCCAAGGAGCATATCCGCTACCCCACAAAGCACTTTGTGTCATTCAGAGACACATTAGGTAAGTGATCAGAAAACAATACATGTTTTTGTGTCAAACTATCATTATGAGAAATGGATATTCCAAAACCATTTTATTGGGGGGAAAAAAATCTTAAGCAGTTTTACTAAGCTTGTTTCCAAAAGGCTAGATATGATACCTAGGGCTGCAGCTAACGGTGATTTTAGTATTCAAAGCTTTGCTTGATTATTTCAACGATTCCTCGATGCATTGTATAAGAAGTACTTTTGCTTGGCAGCATGGAAGGATGGATTAGCACACAGATAGCATGGATTGTCTGAGCTACAGAGAGAGCTGGAGGGGAGTTAAAAGGTGCACCTCCCGACAGCCAGTTAACTCCGGACTGTGAGGTTGCAACTCATGGCCCTCAAGGAGAACAACAAACGCACGTGTATACACTTTCAGCTGAGGACTGCGGCTTACTTTGGCTAGCCTTCAACTAAACAATCAATCATGATTTCAGGTAATTGCTGAAGTTACTGTTAAGCTGATGATACACGGAGCAACTTCTAGCGCAATCGTGCTGGGCAACATTGCTGTCAGTGGTAATGAGTAAAGATTACTACCATAATCCCCTTCTCCTACCACCCGCCCCGCACCGCCGCTATCCGTTCAAAACATAGTTGGTCTCGCCTCCAGCAACATTGCTTAAAAGGTTGCCGTGTCATCAGCTCAAGCTTGTCTGTGTTCCACTGGCATAACACCAGGGCTTTTTGTTCAGCTGCCATCGTGCTGTTGCCGAGGTGACAAGTTTCGTTTTACGGTGGACAGACTGACATTACAGAGTTTTATTTATTTTTTCTTTTAGCTTGAAATAATCACATACTTTGGACACTTTCTTCTTTGTCCCTCACTGTTTTCTCTTCCTCCACTTTGCAAACGGTTCCATTATAATCACGTTGTGTTCAGTGTATGTGCAACAGTAATCTCTGTGCGAAACACTGTGCTGTATAGTTATATGGATTAAACGAAGCATCAATTCAAAGAATTTGTGTTGATGAATTTTATCAATTTAATCAATAAATTGTTTCAGCCCTAATACCTGATAACAAATGGGATGGCCCTGTAAATTATGCAGCACTGCTGTACCGCAAAAGCCTGATATTGTAAAGCATTACAAATAGCATCATGGGACCTTTAGACACAGCCATATCTTGTCATGTATACATGTAGACTGCCCATGCTCTTCTACATCCTGGAGGGCCCTCCAGTCTTGTAAAGACAGCATCCAGAAGTAAACTGACATAACTCATCACAAGTAACATTTCGTTCACCTGCCTATTATGTCAAAGAGATTTTTCTAACGCATAGGTAATAATCTGAAGAATAATGAGACTAATCTTTGAAATTTACCACTTTATTTTTCAGTTTTGATTAATTAAACTGAAAGTACTTAAATTTTCACAAAATGGCGGTGTCCTAAAACTTCATTGTATTGAAAAGAGAATTCAGACCAGCAGTGATTATGTTGTAGGTTTGGAGTGATATTGCTAAATGTTTCGTTATTCACTCATCAACTCTAGGACCCAAGTGCCTCTGCAATGAAGAGAGATGTGACTCTAAGATGCCTCACTGAGTATATGTGAAAGAGTGGACAGGACCTTATCTCTGAGTACTATGCAAGTATTGTTAAAGTGTGGTTGGGTCTGTTTCTGGTTTTACTGGTCAAGTTAAACCAGTATGATTTTATGTGGGCTGACTGATCCAGCATTCGTCATGTGTAGGTTGAGAGAACCAGCAGCATGGAGATTGTTAGGAGGCCTAGAATAGGCGATTTTTAAGTATTAAGTAGAGCCCTATGCAGAACTTCCATTTCTGAAAAATACTGCCTGCTCAATGACTTGTGTATTCTCCCATTTTTTATGTACAGATTTTTAAATTGAACAAATATAGGAAATATTTAACATTTATTTACTTACAGATTGTTTAATCTGTATGCCTGACAGATATGCATAATGTTACATTTGTGAAAGGAATTATGAGACACTGGGACACAGGTCTCCAGCTCCACACAGATCAATGAATACATGCTGCATTTAATTGCTGGTGGAAAAGGGGTATATCTGGGCTTTTCATTCAGTAGGCTATTAAGTGTTTTATATAAGCTGTTGCTAACTGGTAAACATGTTCTTTACTGGTCTTTCCCACTTTGAAATAAGTGGGGAAAGACCAGTGGATTTGTCAAGAACCTTTGATAACCTAGTTTTCCACCATCACTAATATCCAGCATTCATTTGGGGATCTGAGTATGAAGTGTCTGAGAAAGCCACACACTGTTACATCATACAAGGCAAAAATTATTGGATTTTTTGTTATAGATCTGTACATAAAATATTATTTAGGTTGTGATAGGTTCATTTGTATTAAATTTATTGAAATTGCTTAGTGTTGTGTGGATTTGAGCACACTTGCATTTTTTGGGTCTCCAAAGATGTTATAATCTTAATCTGAACATACTGTACATTCTGTTTTTATTTTTCCTTAAGTGCAACAGTTTCAATTTTGTTGTCATACAGGGAACTGCAGAGTGCAGCGTGCATGAGGACCTGAAAATGCAGTTTGAGGATCTAGCCTATGCTAGCCATGAACCAGATGTGGTGGGCATCATCGAGGGAATCCAGTGCTTAAAGATCTTGACAATCTGACCAGAATCTCCAGTATCCATCCAATCTTTTGAAGACTTTTTGTGGGACTCAACGCACTTCGCCCAAAACCAACTGCCAAGTTAATAAGCCTCAACAAGCTTCTCGCAAAGATTGTTGGCCTTGCACTGAAAACAGACGAAGTTTTGTTTCTGTTGAGGAATGTTATACATTTTCTTGGCCTGATGTGTGATTTTTCAGACTGTTGCACCTGAAGGCCTTTCAAGGATTGTTTGTGGGACTCTGCACTGGGTCCTCAACTAACCTCCATGGTCATTAGTTTCACTAACAAGTTTCAAGCTTAGACAGTGAAACATGACAGTCACACTGGCTGTCACAGATTTTTTTTCTTTTATCAAGTGTTTTAATAGTCACTGAAATACTGTCACAATATTGTATCAAGCTGCAGTTTGTAAGCTGAGGTCACAAGTTGTAGTATGTAAAATGTTAACAATATTAAACCATAACTCACAATGTGTAAAAACACAGTTGCAGCTTCTGTCTTCTAGCGCAGCTTTTGTTCTGTTACCAGTGATGTCAAATGATGCCTGAGGCAGACTGTTGGCTGTATTTTTGAAATGGTAAAATTTGTCTCTTCAAGATTACTGTTTATACACAGAAGAGGTGCTGGAAAGGTGTTCTACTACACATAGGCTGTGGTCAGAAGATTGTCAATTTTGCATAACTGCATTTAATGGCTTTTAATAAATGTTGGAAACAATACATCCTTTTCTTAAATTTATGATAATGCTAACTAGTTATTTAAACTAAATTGCACTTTTACAACAGAAAAAAAATAACAAAGAAAATGAGTATGAACTGATTCAAAATTCATTTTGAATGTAACTTATTTTAATTAAGTTTGATGTGGTTAAAATGCTGTCCATTTTGACAATGGCTGAACTTAATTTTTTGGCAGTTTTTTTGTAGACTATTTAATATAGCATACACTAAAATGTTTGTTACTGAGTTTTCCCAACTTAAAAAATCAAGAAGTTCACTAAACTAACAAAGTGGTTGGAAAATGTTGCCTTATTTTTTTAAAGTTAGATCTAAGTAACAGTTTTTAGTGTACTTTAACACTTTCCAACAATTAGTTATTCCCTTTGTAGCTTTTTCAATGTTATGCAGATCCTGTAGAGCTCCAGTTGACAGGGCAGAAATGTGTTGTATCTTAATATTTATAGTGGAACAAGCATTAGCCTAGTTTGTCACAGTTAGGAACTCTGCTGCTGGCTGGTGTGACCCATATAGGACCAGCTGTGCAATCGGACTTTTGGACACCCAGTGCAATCATTAAACTTGGATTAGTTTAGATAATCTAGGGAAGGGTGCGGGTAATCAGATACCAAAGTGCATGATTTATTGCATAGCACCATGTTTTGCAATATGTAGGCTACAGTGAAAATAGTTTCGTTGTGTGAGTAGGCTGCTGTCACTCATTTTCTGACAACAAAAACGTATCCATATGACCAACGGGTGGCGCAAAGAGCTCTCCCAATGCCAGACATAGATCTCAGGTTTCAGAATTGTAAGCTACTCATTTGAAAATATTCCGGTGGTTCAGTATGTATCACACAAATAGACAATAGTCATTTGCATATAGGATAATCCAATAAATGAAAACACAAGGTGGCAGAAGAGCGTGGGAAATGGGAAAGCGCTCTGCTGAAGCTTTCGAGAGTCTGCTTGCTCTCCAGCGCGCGCCGCTGTGCAGACAAGCACCATTGAGAGAATTTGGTTGGCGCACTGCAAAAAATACTCACCAAATCTCGTCACATAAGCTATCTATCTTTAAAAAAACAATCTTACTTTCTAAAACAGGTTTTTCATCTTTCGGGTCATTTCAAATGTTTTCAATAGTTCTCTCAGTGCTCTGCCATCGTAAGCAGCCGTGGAATGGCCGTGTCCAATTATCACTGCACCTATTAGGCTACTTGAAACACTGATTAAAATCCATAATTTCTTGCCATTCCACAAAAAGGTTTCCTTTTTTAAGGACATTCAATTTTAACACGAGACAGGCGCCCAAAGATGCTCATTTCTTGCAGTGTGCGCTCCGCCTTCTCCTGTCTCCGGCGCTGCGCTTTAAATAGCAGCTGTTTAAAAGCTCCTCACCATTCTCCTGTCTGCCGTGCAACACTCAGTCCCACTCAGCACCGCAGACCTCACTCATTCACACAATTTGTTTACTAATAGGCCCTCACATCCCGCAATGTCGGCCGCCAGCACCGAGACTAGTGCCCCACTGCCCACTGCCGGCAGCCGCGTCTTCTTCCAACCTGCGACCGCGGTGGGCTGCGTGGGCTCCGGCCCCATCACCGGGGAGGACCCGGTCCAGAAGAAACAGGGCAAAGTGACGGTCAAGTACGACAGGAAAGAGCTGCGGAAAAGACTCGTCCTGGAGGAATGGATCATTGAGCAGCTCAGCGAGTTGTACGACTGTGAGGTGAGTGGAGCATACCTGCACCTCCAAATCACATAGCATACGGTTCGTGCGCGCACTTGTCTCTGATACCCTCAAAACCATATGGGCATTTAGGGAGACAGGTGGACAAGTGTAGGCTGTTGAGGACAGAATGACACACAGGGAAACTGGTCCTTATGCAGACCTGCTTTGTCAATGTGATGGATGAGCATATGGCTGGCTTTAGACTCACTAATATATTTAATCGGTGAATCCTCGCTCTGTTTGACTGAGTTATGGTATGCTTTGAGTTGCATTATCTGGATCAGCTGGAACTGCAGCTTATCTCATCAGTAGATGCTCAATCACAGCGAACATCCTCCACTAAATAGTCCGGGTCTTCAGGTATATTGGTGTCTCTTGGCCCTCTGCGACACTGATAGGCTATACCTGCAGAATAGCGGAGGGCGTCTAAGCCACACAAAAGCTGCCTGGTTAAATAATGTGGCTCTTTGCTGAACTGCTGGGCACTCTTGACATTGACACGACGTATTGTCTCCTGTCTCATCCCTTCTGCCGTCGAGGGAGAGAAAAGGGAGAGAGGTGGCGTGGTTCAGCGAGGTCGAGAATGAGAAGGGGAAAGCGAGAGAAACCGCACGGTTGCTCCTTTTACGCACCAGTCGCCTCGTTCTTTTTGGATTGTGTCCATTTTCCGATTATATTTAAGATTTATGTTGAGAAATTGCATTCTACAATGGGTTTATCTTCACTAAATCGCTTAGTGTTTCAGTTTCTCTGGTTGTGTGAAACGATGCCCTGTGTGTTGGAATTAATTCCTCTAGCGTTTCCTCTGACCTTTTAAACCTTTATCACCTTTGGAGGGAAGATCTGTGGCAGACGATATTGACAGCCCATTTATTTTGCGCTCACAAGTCGCCTTCTTTAACATTTAAAGGGGTGGGGGAGGGGGTGTGGAGAGAGAGAGAGAGAGAGAGAGAGAGAAGTGGTAGAAAGAGAGAGATTCTATAGGTGATGTGTTAGTGCCACACACAGTAGCCTATGCTGCCTGAGCCAAAGAGGGGGGAGGGGATGGATTGGAGGAAAGAAGGGCAGTGGGTTAAGGATGTGCTGATGCTGTGACTCTCCTCACCAGCCAATCACCTCCCCTCTGCCTCTGGCCCCCTTCCTTGCAACAGAGGGTCTACACAGACACACGCCACAGGCATACCGTGTGTCTGTCACCTCAGACTCGGCCAATCAGAGATGGAACAGGCAGGCGTGAGAGTGCAGCCACATGTGCCTGCACACATGAACCTGTCTGACTTTCACTGTGGAGGGTGGGTGGGATGTATGGGTGTGAATGCTGGCGCGTGTGTGAGCCTATGGTGTGCATGTGGTTATTCATTTATGCAATATGCTGCATCTCCAAGTATTACTAAGATTGATTGCAGTGTGTGCGCATGCGCAGAAACACCTGCACAAATCACAGCAGGGCACTTAATGTCAACATCAAAACACTATTGTCTGTATCAGTAGCTGACAGACCATTGCAATGCAAATATTTCTTCCCCATAAAGGTAAATAAACTGCACGTGTGCAAAGCCATTACAATTTCCTTCCTTCCTGTGTCTCCAAACTGCTTCTAAAACATTACCAAGAGTGAATCTTTCTCGAGCTGTCGATCCCTAAGCTGCTGTTTTTACGGCTGTCATCTCGTTTGCGAGCTTCCTCTTCTCTTTACAGTCCTGCTGTGGTTCTCACTCAAGTTGAAAACCGCTGCATAGCCTGTCTGAGAGCGAAGACTGGTTTACATTTCAAAGCCGGCTGAGCTCTTGGCTGTGTGTCAGTCTGCCGTCAGCAGGTGCGCTTGATCTGCAAGTAGCATGATGCTACTACCCCCACACGGATCGACTGATCTATTTGATGTTTGGACAAGGGCTGGAGTGCACCGGCCCAGCGTTGATCTCGGGGAGTCACATCTTGGTCTTGCAACATTTGCCTTTCTCTTCCAACGGATGCTGTCCCGTGATTTGTTTAATGCAAATGCATGTTAAGCTCAAAAGTCAAAAACACTCTAGCAAATTGCAGGAAGCACTCGGTCTCTGTTCAATCTTTTTTTTTTCCACTATTGTAGCATTACCGTGGAAAATGACTTCACTCTCTTGGTTGCAGACGTTCCTTTTTTTCTTGACGTCAACTTAATGAAGGCGACTCTGCATTCCAGATTTCAATGCAGATATTCCCAGCAGCATGCCACCTCCTCATATTATGTCTTTCACACAGCAAATGGGATATTATCACATGATAATCCCCTGGCTCTCTGGCGTTGTTGCCAGTCTGATATCATGCTGGCTGCTGGAATAAGCACAGTGTTTACTGGTGGTAGAAAGACATGGAAGCTGGCAAGATTTCAGAGGACAGATGGTAATGAAACCAGTACATCATTATGTTGACCTATTGTCACTTTGGTGCATTGTTAGGGCTTTCTTTCATCTGTGCATCTGCCTATTCATCCATGAATAGATAGATGATGGTAGTGTTTGAGCAGGTGGTCTTTATTGATGATGTTTGTCCACATGACTGTAAACAGGAAGTAACATTCCTGTCATGGCTGTTAACGCCTCCATGTTCAGATTTAGATAGACACGGGTGTATATGTTTTGTGCGTGCATTGACTGTGTGTGTGTGTGTGTGTGTGTGTGGGGGGGGGGTGCTGATTTGGCTTTGCTGGTCTGGCTTAAAGGTCAGCCTCTGTATCAGTTTCATAAGAAAATCTGATACTAGAGAACATCACAGTGTGTTTGTGTGGGGGTGGTAGTTATGTGTGCTGATGCTGAAAGTAATGGAGGGTTAACTAGTTAGGTGAGAATTTCTGTTTCCAATTTCTCATGTGCAAAATATGTCCTAGGTCTCATGAGAAGCAAAAGACCTAAAGTGTTCGCACACAATAACGGCAAGTTCAAAAAAGGCTAACTGATACATATACTGTACATTGTGAAAATAGACATGTGCAAAAAGGAAAACCTTGCTGTCCAGAGATTCAGTTCTCAAAAGAAACGAACAACAACACAAAAATGCTGTGTGTGCACACATGACCACACACCCACACTGATAACCATAGCAATTATGTATCTGGTATGTTAATGATTTAGTTTAAGGCATTGCCATAAGTAACTCAAAATCTTATTCCCTACACAGAGATCATCTTAAAAGGGAATAGTTTAACATTTACTATGCTTACGTCTTGCTGACAGTTTGATTAGAAGATTGATACCACTCCCCCTTTTACTGACTTGAACTGGCAACCCTCTAGTTCCTTAGCCAAGTCCTCACAGATTGAGCTACTGCCGCCCCTTACAGAGTCTCCTGATGGACAGATAGCTTTACCTGCTGCTGAAGTCATTTCTAACTGCTGCTAACGGGCTGCTGTTATCTAGTTAGCTCAGTTAGTTTTGCAGCTAATGGTCATATTAGCTGACTCTTCCCGCACCAGGAGCTTGGAGCACCGGGGGAGTGTTATCACAGGAGCTTTAGACTGCCAGGAGGAGGAGGCTTTCAGGTCTGGTGCTGGAGGGACCCAGCAGGGAATGCTGGAATGCGGAATAAGCAGCAGAAATAGAGCCGGGCGAGCAGGCAACAGAACCACACTCAGCAGCAGCAAGATATTTACAAATCACAGATTTTTACTGCAATGCTATTTTTTCCCCTCTTCCTGTGTCTTGCTGTCATTCATTAAAATGTTTTTGTCCAACATTGGCTTTAATTTGCCTTGAGCTTCTGTCTCTCTTCTCCTCTCTCTCTTTTTCTCTCTCTCTCTCTCTGGGCGATAGGATAACAGAAGGTGAGTTCTGTCAGAGATGGATTCCCCTCTGCTCTCCTGGGATACATTGCCTCTATTCATTTAGCGGTTCGTAGGACAGAAAGGGGAGAGGAGAAAGAGGAGAGCACAGAGCGGAGGGGTGGCAGAAAGAGAGAGAGAGAGAGAACAGCCGAGAACCCAAGTTCTCCCAGTACAGCTCTTGATATTGTAGAGGCTTGGACTACAGCATCCTATTCTCTCCTTGTCATCTTCTGCTATTCTGTTGTCAGTCAAAGCCATTGCTCACAATTGCATTACACTATAAGTCAGGCATTGTAGTGTTTTCTCCTTCCAGCTCCTTCCAGTCATTACTTTTCCTCACTGGCTCTGCTTGTGATAATCAGCAACACTTTTATATATAATTACTTTGTATATAATAACAGTTTAGCTTATATCCATTACTGAAGTAAAATAACAGTGAAGGAGCCTACATCTTGATTAGGGCAACATATAAATATATATTAATATTCATTATTCATTAATATAGCGCTTATTTTCTTGATTAATTATTTGTTTGCTCTAAAAATGCCTGTATACATTTCCTAAAGCCTAAGGGGGTCGCCCATATTGTCCAACCAAAGGTCCAAAGATATTTGGTTAATTATCACATAAGACAAAGAAAAGAAGCAAATCCTCACATTTGAGAAGCTGGAACCAAATAATTAAGTTTAAAGTACTTTAAAGGTCCTCACCGTTTAAAGGATGTGTTGACAAAAAGTAAGTAGTAATTGTGTAATTTTCTTTTTTTTTTTTTTAGTTGCAGCATAATCCAAGTCCTTTGCACATCTTCTTCACAAACCCTCCCCACTAACACACTCACTCATTCAGTTGCCCACTGTTACTTTTACTGAGACTGAACCAGGCTGTGTTGAAGTGCAGATTAATGCTGAGGTCAAGTCTAAGTGATTTAAAAGGCCAGACGTGTCCGCACAATGATGAGTCCTCAAACACCTCAAAAACCTAAACACAATCAATGAAGGCTGTTGAAAAAAAAAGGCCTTTACATGGTGTGTTTGTGTGAGAGATAATAACACATCGACAGAGACTGACAGATTGGTGTATCTGTTGACAGCTCTGCGGTTCTATGCATGTGTTGTCGGGGTGCACGCTGCAGAGGAAGGGGAGAGAGACACTGTAATGCCCTACTTTTTCATGGCTCAGCGTCAATAGAGCCCCACTCAAT